ACTTGTCTTTATTAAGCTATACAAGCATCGTATATATACAAGATTCAATGACGGTTTAACATAAACCTTAATAGAAACTATCCTTATCTCTAACTTGAGAAACAAGAAAATAAACATTATCTCCTAAAGAGAATATACGATATAGGAATATTGACATATATTTGTCTATATCGTAATACTCCCCCTCACGTTGGAGCGTGCAGGTCACAAACGCCCAACTTGGACAACAGGATATTGAACTGAACTCGCCCCAATGCCTTAGTTAAAATATCAGCAACCTGCTCCTTAGTACGAATGTGATGAAGAATAATGTGACCATCGCGAACAGCGTCTCGTACTGCATGACAATCATTCTCAATGTGTTTTGTACGTTCATGGAAGACTGCATTTCGAGCAATATGAATAGCCGCCTTATTATCACAGAAGAAGCGTGTAGGTACCAGCTTGATATCGAATCCCTGCAACATTTTGCGCAACCACTTGACCTCCTTGAGAGCATCAGACATAGCTCGATATTCTGCTTCTGCAGAGGAATGAGACACTGTATCTTGTTTCTTTGTCTTCCAGCAAACAGGTGAGTCTCCAAGAAAAGCGACGTATGCTGTAAGAGACCGACGAGTTTCGGGACAAGAGGACCAATCAGAGTCACAATATATGGTTAAGGACATGTCTTTTGACGAACTTAACATGATTCCTTGACCAGGAGAACCCTTTAGAAATCGCACAATGCGTAGGGCTGCCTCCCAATGGGCTTCCTTTGGAGACTGCATGAACTGAGACAAGACATGTACTGAGTAACTCAACTCAGGTCGTGTATGAAGGAGATACAAAAGCCGTCCAACAAGTCGTCGGTACTTGCGCGGATCAGATAAAGTAGGACTCTCAACCTTGCCAAGATGATGATTTTGTTCGAGAGGAGTCGCAGCCGGCTTGCAACCGAGATTTCCTGTCTCTTCAATAATGTCCAGAGTATATTTGCGCTGAGAGAGAAAAAATCCTTCGGGACCACGACTTACTTCGATGCCAAGAAAGTATTTAAGTTTACCCATATCCTTCATAGAAAAACACTTGCTCAAGTAATCTTTAAACTTCTGCACCATACGACTATCATTTCCACTGATAAGTAAATCGTCAACATAAATCAATACGCGGAGCTGAATGCCCTTGCGTGTATAACAGAACAGGGACGAGTCATCATATGACGGAAGAAAACCAAACTTCAATAAAGCATCCGAGAGCTTTTTAAACCAGCACCGTGGAGCTTGTTTAAGACCATACAATGATTTCCGCAAGCGACAAACTTTATTCGGATGAGTATGACGAAAGCCAGGCGGAAGCTTCATGTACACCTCTTCTTCAAGATCACCATGAAGAAAAGCGTTATTAACATCCATCTGAAACACTTCCCACTGATTTGCTGCAACCAAACGAAGAAACATACGAACTGATGTCATTTTAATAACAGGAGCAAAAGTTTCATTATAATCTTCCCCTTCTACTTGGTTGTTGCCCATGACTACAAGCCGAGATTTATGGCGCCGGATTGTACCATCTGGATTATATTTGATCTTATAAACCCATTGACTGCCAAGTGCAACTTTTCCGGGTGGGAGATCGGTTATATCCCATGTGGATTGACCTTCGAGAGCAACGATTTCATCAGTCATCGAGTCGTCCCAGACAGCAATCCCAACCGCTTCTTTAAAGTGTCTAGGTTCGACACCAGCTGAAACTGCAGCTAGAAAGGCTTGTTGCAGCGGAGTAAAATTAGAGTCAGAGACAAATTGAGTCAATGGGTATAGTGAATTACCTTGGACCGAAGACGAGGTCTGAGGAACAGAGATGGTGGAAGCGTGATGGGTACTACTTATGTTTGTCGCTTTCGTATTGTAGGTGACATAGTCTTTGAGCTTTACAGAAGGTACATGTTGACGTTTACCACGGCCAAGGTCTTCGTTTACTAACTGAGAGCCACTAGTGCCATCACCATCTGTTAAGTCGGCTGCTCCTGTTGTGACCTCTGCTTCGGGGTCATCATACTCTTCAACCACAGGGGAGGCGCTTTCACCACCACCGGTGGTATCAATAGGTAACGCAGGTGGAGGAGTAACAATAGACATGCTCCCCCTATCTACCGAGTCCACCGGAACCAAAGCTGGAGAAGCATCAGACAAGCTCCCCCTATCTACTGCAACCGTCGGAACTGGAGGCAAATTAAAGTTCCAGTCCTCATCGACAGTTTCAAACAAGGTCGGTGCTGTAACAGGCACTGAAGTTGGAGCGGAATCAGATTTGTCAGCGTAGGGAAACACGTCCTCACGAAACACAACATCGCGAGAAATAACGAACTCGTTACGATCCATATCGTAGACTTTATAACCTTTTTTGCCGAAAGGATATCCAACAAATACGCAGAGACGACTTCTCTCGCCAAACTTATCTTTACTTCTTGACACCTGATGTGTATAACAAGCCGAGCCAAAGACACGTAACTGTGTGTAGTCGGGTTTTTGGCCATGAAGAACTTCAAAGGGTGAGCGTCCCTTGTGTAGTGATGTAGGCGTCCGATTAATGAGATAAGCTGCTGTCAAAACCGCTTCACCCCAAAAGGTTATTGGTAAGCTTGCCTGAAACAGTAATGCTCGTGAGACATTAAGGATGTGTCGGTGCTTCCGCTCGACACGACCATTCTGCTGAGGAGTCCCGACGCATGATGTCTGATGTATGACACCAATCTCACGAAAATATTGAGAGAGACACATAAACTCTGTGCCATTGTCGCTTCTAACTGTCTTGACCATTTTACCAAACTGTTTTTCTGCATAGGCAATGAAGTTTTTCAGGATTGTCTTAACTTCTGACTTCTCCAACATCAAATATGTCCAAACAGACCTTGAGTAATCGTCTACAATCGTGAGAAAATATACTGCACCACAAGAGGAGGGAACACGATATGGACCCCAAACATCGACATGTATTAAAGAAAAACAATCATCGGATTTATTAATACTGTCGGGAAAAACCTCACGAGTTTGTTTAGCTCGAAAACAGACGTCACAAGAACGTGAGCTATTATTATTTTTAGAAGAAAACAAATTCAGAGACGAAAGCACAGAAAAACTAGGATGTCCTAAACGCTGATGCCACAGAGATTGATCAGAAGATGCGTCGACTGTGTGTATCTTTGCTGTAGCCACATCCGTTAAGTAGTAAACCCCACCACGCTCTTCACCGGTTCCAATCAGAGTCCTCGAAAAACGGTCCTGTAAAACACAAATAGCATCAGTAAAGGTGGCAAGGCAGTTGGTTTGCTTTAGAAATTTCGAAACCGATATCAAGGTGCAGTTTAAAGAGGGCACATAGAGAACATTAGTCAACGAGACTCTCGCTGACAATGGGAGATCACCCATACTCAAGGCGAATGTTCGACTGTTATCTGCAAACCCCACCGAGCATGGCGGTATAGACACAAGATTTTTCAAAAGAGAGAGCTTCCCAGTCATGTGGTGAGAAGCCCCAGTATCGAAAATAACATCGCCATGTTTGTTCTTACCACATAGCTTATCAGAACCTGATTTTTCTTGAATCAGTTGTGTGAGAACCTTCCACTGATCTGATGTGAATTCGGGAAAAGCAGACAGGTTGGAGCTGGTGGCGTGCGCCGCTGTGATTTGTCCTCTACCACGTCCAGAACTCGAGCTGCGGCCACCACGACCTCTTCCACGAGTAGGGCCGCCACGTTCAGCACGATCCGCACGCTCATTCCACCATTCCGGGAAGCCAACAATCTGCCAGCAATCTTTCTTATCATGACCCCGACGTCCACAATGAGAGCAAACAGCAACGCGATCCTTGTTTCGGAGAATTGACGAATCTTGGTTTTGGCTGTCACCACGCGCTACAAACCCTATCGCCTCTTGTGTCTGCTCTCGGCTTCGTGAACTGCTCAACCTCTGTTCTTCTTGAACGACCTTGGAGTAAACTTCTCCAATCGAAGGCAGAGGATCCGTGCCGATTATGGATGTGCACAGACTCCCAAACCTCGAATCGTCTAGACCCATAACAAACTGGTGAACCTTGTCGTCGTCCCTCTCCTTACTGATTTCTTTGGCAACACCACAAGTACACATCGGAAGAGGTCTATAGACGTCAAGTTCTTCCCAAAGAACACACAATTTTCCGTAGTACTCAAGCACGCTTTGACCTTCTTGACGACAAGCTGCCAGTTGTGCTTTGATCTGATGAACACGGACTTTGTTCCCAACTGAGAAACGCTCCTTCAGATCCGACCACAAGAGACTGGCCTCATTGACAAACGACACCGACCCCTTTATCTTTGGATCGATAGATGACCGAATCCAACCAATAATCATAGAATTCACAGTCACCCAATTGTCATAGTTGGTGTCGTCGACTGCAGGTTTCTTCAAAGTTCCGTTGATGAAGCCGATTTTACGCTTAGCCTGTAGGGCATTACGCATCTCATTAGCCCACTGGTTATAGTTTTCTCCGTTTAACACGACAGAAGTGATCATGGCTCCGGGATTGTCGGAACCATACAAGGCATACGGAGAAGCAACGACAGGAGCCCCTTCTGAAACATGTTTATCAACCTTAATAACCGAACTTTCTTCAGACATCGTCACTGACGAAATTAGGTTTGTTCAAACTTTGAACAATTACTTATAGAGAACGTAAGTTTTGTTCAAACTATGAACAAGGAAATTGAGAAACTTTAGGTATTTAGATTGATCTCAGCTCTGATACCATGTAGAATTGGATATCAAACTGACTTGTCTTTATTAAGCTATACAAGCATCGTATATATACAAGATTCAATGACGGTTTAACATAAACCTTAATAGAAACTATCCTTATCTCTAACTTGAGAAACAAGAAAATAAACATTATCTCCTAAAGAGAATATACGATATAGGAATATTGACATATATTTGTCTATATCGTAATATAATTAGTATTTCTCTGAGAGTGTTTGCCAAATGGCGAGCTTACGTAGTCAGGACGTTGAGAGTAAGGACAAGAACATGATGAGTCGGTTTGCATGCTTCGTGCTTCCACTTCACTCGCCGTTGTTCTTGTTACTTGTCGTCGTTTTATATGTTTTAATTAATGAAAAGTGTTATTTGTGTTAATTAAGTACATCAGGATATCCAAATCATATTTCCACTCTCTTTCGTATGGATTGGTTACGAGTTCCGACCATCGCTTTTTTTTCTTAAACCTATCGATTTAAAATAATTAGTCGTATTACATAAATAGAAGATTAGTTGATCGTTATATTATATCCTAGAGTATTTTCACCACTAAATGGATCTGGTTCAATCTGAAAAGCAAATTGTATCAAATTGAAATTGTATTACACCAAATCATAAATATTTTCATTTTGTTTTAGTTTATAGCAAGACAAACACACCTTAAACCATGTTTCTTTTAGTGGATGATATTTGGACGTGAAAAGGGACTTTAAAAAAGAAAATCCTCTCTAGGAGAAAACCATAATTTTCCTCGCTTGGGTGGCCGGCGGCGTTCTTCCTCCGCAGTCACCGGTCGCCCGCCTCTCTTTGTTTCTATTCCCTCTTCGCCTCTCCTCTCCCTCCTTTGCTATGTTTCCTTTCTCGGTGGCTCTGTGTCTTTGCGCCTCCGCGCGGGTTAGATCTGGCGCGTCGGATTCGGATCTCCAGAGAAGCACGGCGGAGGAGTGGATGTGTGGTTCCTTTGGGCGCGTGGGGTGGTGGGGGTTTAGATCTGGTGTCAGATCCGGACTTTGGTTGTGAGATCTCTCTCCTTCCTCTTGCTTTCTCTGCTTGCTCTTCTCGGTTGGGTGAGTGGATTCGCTTGGTTGAGGCGTCCTGGGTTCCCTTTGACGGTGGTGCTGCGGTGCTTCTTCCTCTTGTCTCGGTGGTCTCCGGCGGCGTGCTTTTGGGCCGGTCAATCTTCCTCTCAGGGGCTTTTTTTGAGTGGCTTTCGGTTCCAAGCCGGAATGGTCTTCGACGGGTTCTCCGTCGCGGGGGCGTGTGCGAGGAGATGAGTTGCTGGTCTTGTCAACCGCGACAAATCTTATCGGTGGCAGCACGTGCTTAGATAGCAGGGTTCTGAGGCTGATCTAGGGCTGTCACGGAACCGCTTTTTCCTTAGGGTGAATGTGCTGTTTCTGTCTTCTTGGTGCAGGTTCGTTGGCGTGTGGCGGCTCATGGATGCTCCTTTTCCAATAAAGCTCGATCTTCTCAATGCTGTGTCCTTGGTCGTGAGCGTAGCAGTATGTCCCTCTAGGCTGCGGATTAGATGGACTTAGCAAGCTGTTTTTTGACAATCCTATCATTTAGAGTTGGTCACCGGGTACGCCAATTTCTACCGGGTCCAGTCTCTCGTTTTAACTGCGGGTTTGATTTCTGTGGCAAGCGAATGTTCGGTCTCTGGTGTTTCCTTTTTGTACTGCTGTTTTGCTTGTAGATGGGTCCTGTAATACTAGGTCTGAGTCTGTGTTAGTTTGTATTATGTTTTCTCTGCTTCTTGTCATCTATGTTTGTCTGTAAAAAATTGAAAAGTGGTAATGAATTTAACATTTTTACCAAAAAAAAAAAAAAAAAAAAAAAAGATTGCATGATAATATATATATATATATATATATATATATATATATANAAAAAAGTTAGCACGTTGAGTCAAATACTCTCTCTGACTCAGTTCCCAATGTCAAACCCTTGGGCCTCGGTCCGCCTTGCTTCCGCCTTGATTCCGCCGTCTCTCGCCGCCGGTAACCCCTCCGCTGAACCTAACCTCGTCCCCCCTCTTCCACCTGACCCCCCTGACCCGTCCCGTAACCTCTCTTTGACCCATTACCCACCACTTTCCCCCCCCTCTTCCCATACTTCTGCAACTGCTCGTACTGTAGCTCCGGTTGTTACAGTCCGTTCTAAGCAAACCTCCTCTACTACTGACATTGAAATGCTGTCTGTAAGCGATAATGTCACCTCTTCTGTAACTAGCTCTGAAGAAACCAGATCTGTTAAAACTAAGCCTAATCAAACTACTGTATCTTCTGGAAAAGATACTGGAAAATTCACTATCCTTCCACCGAAACATAGCTCCCCTCTCCTAACTAATAAGGCTTCTTCCATTATTAGTGGATCTAGCCCTGTTAGCCATAACCAGAAATCAAAAGATTCCCCTTCCCACCCTCTGAATCCACCGACCCAAACCGCTGCAATTCCTAACCATACCCACGGTCAACCTAACTCTGATCCTAAGAATCATACACCTATCCTACCCACACCAAATCCAACTATCTTTATTGCCCCCAACTCGACGGTCCCAAACTCTGAAGAACCTCAAACTCCTGCTCTAAACTCCCAGCAGAGTCCCCCTGACGTTCCCCAACCATCCCTTGTTGAAAAAATTCGAAGGTTTGAAGACAAAACCTTAAAACGTCTTGCGCCAACCTCATTCTCACCTTCAGGAAGGCCTTCGGTCTTAATACCTGACGAAGTATTCCAGAAGGGTGCTGATCTGCACAAAGACTTTATTGTCTGTGTGTTTAATGGAAGACCTCCACCCTACAGTCAAATTCAAAGCGTGTTAAACCATATGTGGAGTAAAGGAAGACGGCTAGAAATCCACAACAACCCTCACAACAGAACGGTCCTAGTTAGAATCACCAGTGATTATCTGAAGCAAAAAATACTTGAGAAAGGTTACTGGTACGTGGGGGACTCAATGTTTTACACTATGCAATGGACGTCAGCTCACACCACGCAGCCTCAAACCCTCACTACAATGCAAATATGGGCTCACCTAATTGGAGTTCCGCTTGACCTTCGACACCAAGACGGTCTTAGTCTAGTTGCAGGACTGGTCGGGGAGCCAAAAGAAACGGATGACTTCACCAAAAACTTGGTCAGCTTAACGATCTCACATGTTAAGGTTGAGGTTGATCTAACAAAACCGGTTCCAGAGGTGGTGGAGTTCACGAGACAATCTGGAGAAGTGGTTGAAGTTTATGTTACTTATCCTTGGCTTCCTCCAACCTGCTCTCATTGCAAAGAGTTAGGTCACATTGCCAAGAATTGTCTTCTCCTCCCGGCTGCTCCTAAGGCTCCTTTTGTTGCTAAAGGAGGCCCTCCTAAACCTTCTAACCCTGCCAAAAGCTCGGATACTACACCAAAAACCACTCAAAAAACTCCTCAAACAACTCCAACAAAATCTGCTCCCTCCTCATTCCATAAAGCCAGTTCTCAAAACTCCATTATCCTTCCTTCCCCTGACCCAAAACCTTCACTAGTGACCAATTCCTCTCTCCCCCTTACTCTCCCACCCATTGCACCCACAAAAAAACCTGTCTTCCCAAATTCTCCTCTTCCCCTTGACTTTCGCTACCACTCTCATCTTAATTCCCCTAAACTAAGATTAAAACGTTCTCGGTCTGACCCTTCTCTATCCCCACCAAACAACCTTGTTCAAAACACCTTTGTCCCCCCTCCTGTAACTCCTGTCCCTTCCTCTCAACTTAACCCAAACACTAACCCTTTTTCAGTTTTAGCTACTCTTGAACCTCCTGTCCTTTCGGGGGAGGCTCCAAACCTTTCCTGATGTGTGCAAGTATATTTTTTTGGAATGTCCGCGGTCTAAATGACTCGGACAAGCACACCCCTTTTTGTTCATGGTTATCTACTTATAAACCCTCTTTTGGCGTTTTGCTCGAAACCCATATTAAGGATCAGAATGTGAACCAAATCTTAGATACTCTTTCTCGTGGATGGAGTTTTACCACCAACCATTCTAGTGATGAGGATGGCAGAATTATCGCTATTTGGAGAAACAATGTTCAGGTCACGGTTCTCCATCAGTCTAGGCAATCATTAACATGTGAAGTCACTCTTCCGAACTCGCCTCCCTTCACTTACACAGCTGTCTATGCCTCTAATGAGAGAGTTGAACGGGCAAGTTTGTGGGTTGAGTTGCTGGACCTTCACCAATCTCTGCAGCTTAGTTCTAAACCTTGGATGCTTGGAGGCGATTTCAATGAAATTATCCATCACTCTGAACACTCTCTCCAGGAGGTAAACGCAATGACCCAACCAATGACAGAATTTCGTGATTGCTTGCATCAGATGGAGATGTTTGATCTGAGATTTTATGGTCCCCTCTTCACTTGGACTAACCACCGACCTGAAAGTCCAATAGCGAAAAAACTAGACCGTCTTCTTGTCAACTCTAACGCGGTTTCATTGTTCCCAAACTCCTCAGCTACCTTCCTCCCTCCCCTAATATCAGACCATAGCCCTTGTCTCATTGACTTAGCCCACAGCCTTCCTCTAGCCGGTACAAAACCATTCCGATTCTTTAACTATCTTACCAAACACCCCCTCTTCAACCAGGTGGTACATGAGGCATGGAATCAAGCCGGAAGCTTGGCAGTGACCCTTACGACCCTATGTTGGAAACTAAAAAATGTCAAGGGAGCACTAAAACACCTAAATCGAGAGAACTTTTCTAATATTCAAGTGAGAGTTATTGAAGCTAACCGTTTGTTACAAGATGTGCAGGTACTAGCTCTTCAGACGCCAACACCCGCCCTATATCTTGAGGAAAGAGCTCTACATGAGAAATGGACCTTCCTGCGAGGAATAGAGGAAAGTTATTTTCGACAAAAGTCAAGGATAAACTGGTTGAATGAAGGAGATCAAAATACAACATACTTCTTCCGGATATTTCAAGTACGAATGAGCTACAACTCGATCAGATCCTTCCTTCTGCCTTCTGGAGTGTTCATCGTGGACCCTCTGCTCATGAGTCTCCACGCTATCTCTCACTTTCGAAATCTCCTGGGGCCTGAAATCCTCCTTCCCCCTCAGACGCCTTCTCCTCCTTCGTGGTTTGCGGTTCTCACTGGTTTTACCCCTACTCAGGCACAATCAATCTCGATGACCTCCATACCTTCTTCTGAGGAGATTACAAAGATGATGTTCAAGCTTAACCAAAACAAAGCTTCCGGACCTGATGGCCTTACCTCAGGGTTCTTCAAAGCTTCTTGGAGTCTTCTGGGGGACGAGGTCAAAACTTCAGTCTCGCACTTCTTTCTCAGCTCCTTCATGCCAGCCACAACAAACGCAACTATTCTGGCACTAGTTCCAAAAAGACCGGGAGCCTCTCTTATAACTGACTTCCGTCCTATAAGTTGTCTCAACACTTTATACAAACTAGTTGCCAAGTTGTTGGTAAGAAGACTTAAGCCGATCCTTCCTGATTTAATAGTTCCAAACCAAACTGCATTTGTCAAAGGAAGATTGATCAGTGAAAACACTATTTTAGCTGGCAATCTTGTTAATGGCTATCATAGAAGGAAAGGGCCAAAAAGGATCACAATTAAGGTTGATATCGCTAAGGCTTTTGATACTTTGTCTTGGGAGTTTCTTCTCAACTGTTTAGAAGGCTTACAAGTACCTACCCAACTCATCCGGTGGATTAAAGCATGTGTTTGTACAACTAACTTCACTGTTGGCTACAATGGAAGGGTACAAGGTTACTTTAAAGGAAAGCGTGGGTTGAGGCAAGGAGATCCATTATCACCGTACCTCTTTGTTATTGCTATGAACATGTTATCTCTAATGCTAAACAAAGCGGCGGCTGAGGCGAAGATAAAATATCATCAAAGTTGTAGTGTTTCGAAACTTACTCACCTGTGTTTTGCTGATGACTTGTTGATATTTATAGATGGTTCCTTAGACTCGTTGCAGAATGTGCTTCAGGTCCTCAAAGAGTTTGAGCTTCGATCGGGGTTAGCTGTTAGTGTCCAGAAGTCGTCCTTCTTTGCTTCGGGCCTCTCTCAGCAGGAAATTGACACTATAAAAGTTTCAACGGGAATGCCGAATGGCCTCCTTCCAGTCAGATACCTTGGGGTTCCCCTCTGCGCAAAAAAACTCACTATTGCAAATTGCGAAATGCTTCTGCAGCAGGTTAAATCTCGATTCACTTCCTGGACGGTTAAAACGCTCACCTTTGCAGGACGGCTTCTCCTCATAAAGACAGTCATTGCGGGGATTACTAACTTCTGGTGCTCGACTTTTGTGTTACCTAAAGCCTGCATCAAAAGAATCAACTCATTGTGTGGTATTTTTCTATGGAAAGGAAGCATAGAAGGACATCATTCTGCCAGGGTCTCATGGGAAGTTATTACCACGCCTAAAGAAAATGGAGGTCTTGGAATTCGGGACTTATTAAGCTGGAACAAAGCTTGTTGTCTAAAACTTATCTGGCTCCTGTTTTTTCAAGCTGGTTCGGTCTGGGTAGCGTGGTTTAAAGCTGAGATATTGGATGGGAACTTGTCAAACTTCTGGACAATAAGAACGAGTACTAACTACCCGTGGATAGTAAACAAGTTAATCAAGATGAGGGGAGAAGCTTTTACCTGGATTAAAATGCAGATTGGTAATGGAGAATCTTGTCGTTTTTGGACGGACAATTGGTCACCTTTAGGCTCACTAGAGGAATCTATATTTCAAACCTCAAACTCGAGGCAAGGAATCTCGTCTCTAGCACTTTTGTCGGACCTATATCAAAATGGAAGTTGGCTCCTGCCTCCACCCAGATCCGACAAAATGCTAGACCTTCACATCTACTTAACAACCATCACCCTCTCAACAGAACTGGACAGCTATGAATGGGTCATTGATGGTTCTAATTCCCGGACCTTCAGCACAAGACAAATCTACAACAAGCTTAGAGGGGAAACACCACTAGTACCTTGGAGCAAGATGGTCTGGACAACCGGAGGTATTCCAAAACACAACTTCTTAACTTGGCTCTTTGTTCTTAACAGATGCCCAACGCGTGATAGACTTCTGAGCTGGGGACTCACAACTGATGCCAATTGTCTTCTCTGCAATGCTGCACCGGAATCTCGGAACCATATGTTTTTCAATTGTGCTTACGCCGCCACGTTCTGGAGCCAGGTAGCTAGGCGCTGTTCAATAAATCCAAATCAAGACTGGAATCAAACCTTGGCTCAGATGGAAGGACTACAAGGAAATAAATACTCCAAAAGACTCACCTTGCTTTGTTGGCAGGCTGCAATATACTGGTTATGGCAGGAGAGAAACAGTCGACTGCACAACAGAAACTACCGTTCCACTGATTCTCTACTAGCTCTTCTCTACCGCCAGATTAAAGACCGGATTTCAAGTTATCGTCAACAATCACCGATCACCTCTTCTCGCCTCATGCAACTCTGGTTCACTTCTGAAACTCAACCATCGTTAAGTCCTTCAATTCAATTGAGATTGGGCTAATTCTGTTGGGCTACTGGTCAATTCTGATCTCAAATTATGGGTTTCCTTACTATGGGCTTTAATTAACTTGTGGGTATGACTATAGCTTCAGGCTTGTAAACTCTTTTTATTCTTCTGTTTTTAATATGAAAATCCTTAGTCAAAAAAAAAAAAAAAAAAA